TATATGAATGTGTGTCGCTTTTGTTCACAATTGATTAAAAATGACAACGACTTCCTCATTCAAAATATTTTTTGAAAATGGTTATGTACAATCTAGCTGGCTATGAGCGAGTAGAGTCTAGTATTGACAATTGATGAAACATGGATCTATTACTTCACATCTGAGGAAAAACAACAAACCAGAGAATGGGTAGAGATCGGGATAGTATCCCGAACGACCACGAACTCAACAATCGCCTGAAAATCTTTTGGCTTCCGTATTTTGAGATTTAAGTGGAATAATTTTCATAGACTATTTGGAAAAAGGAAAAACAATAACATCAGACTACTATTGCATGGGATATTATCGGATCGATTGAAAAAGGAAATCAAGAAAAAACGACCACATTTGACAAAGAAAAAAATTTTGTTTTTGCAGGATAATGCACCAGCTTACACGTCAATGAAAATACTTTTCTATGGTGTGAATATTTTTCTTTGGTTTTTTTTCTATTTGGTTTATGTGATCAAGGATACAATTAATTGTGAATGAATATAGGTTTCGCATCTCAGAGCCAGGGTTACGCCAAAGCACAAATCAATTCTAAAAATTAGTTAGTTTTTATTGTGTTCGAAAAGATACTTTGGTCCCCCACATATGAAATGTGCTTATTTTTAAATTAACTCAGCAAACTAATATAAAAGTCATTTTAAATAATTTATTTTTATATCTGTAATTTGAGTTTTAATTTATTTCTATAGCTCTATATATGTCATAAATCTAAAATTTAATGATTTTGTTCACATATTTAGAAGTTTCTACTTTGCTCATTCAGTTCGCATTAAGTGTAGTTTGCTTTGAACCATTACCAAGGAATTGTGAATACTTATCTACGGTAGTGGTGGAACGAAAATGCACGACGTTATATCCAAAAGAAATATTAGACGATTATCATGATAAATACGCTGAAATATACAAATCATATGCTGTATACCAATTTAAAGGAGCAGTAAATCATTACTTTATATCATTAAATGATGGAGAAATACAAGCCTGCAATAATATAAGAGTTATAGATATTCTCAATTTCAATTGTTCTGCTCCAGAAGTAAAGACGTATACATTCGAAGTAGGAGCAATAAGATGTAGAGATTTTTCTGCTTATGGGGATGCATTAATAAGATATTGTTTAAAAGTTGGCATGTCACAAAATTATGTCCCAAGTAACATTTTAGTAGCTTATCACTACAGTGGAGTTAAAATGCAAAATTATGATAAATGGGACGATAAGATGTCATCAGCACAGGGATTGATAAATATCAGAAGTCGAATTTTGATATTTATTCAAACGGTAATGATCATGGTTTGCATAAAAAAAATATTTTATTTGTAACCAAAATCATTCAATCAAAAAAAAAATATATATATTGATTGTTGTTTAACAAATTTCTATTCTTCATTAAATGCAAATTTAATTATCCATTATCAGATTATGGTATCAGTATTATGTCTACTGTACTAGTAGTAGGTAACTAATGCTGATGTTGTTACTATCCTCTTTGCTATTTATGCCTATCTATTATTGTCACGTTATTTAGGTCTGCTCTATGTTTGGTCTCTGCCATGTGTTGAGAGAAAAATAGCTGCAGGACAACATTTGCGAAAAACAGGATAGTTTTGGAATTATAGTGATATGTTTTGCCACAAACTACTATATAAGCAAAGTCCATAAGTCTTTTTTGCTAGATTGCCTAAAGCAATGTCGTGAAATTTGTAGATAGCACTCCTTATTGATTCTATAGTCAATCATCTTGAATTTCTAACAAACTATTCCAGTCTTAAAGCTTCTGTTTCGGTATGGCAGCTATATATCAAAGTTTTATCATCAATTACAATGTATTTAAGTAAGTCCTTATTAAAACTGTTCAAAGTTGGCAAAAGCGTTGTTTTTTTTGAGAATGTCATTCTTTTTGTAGGAGTTTTATGATACTTTTCTTTCTCCTTTAATTTTTTAAATGATAATACTTTTAAGTAGTAAGCACAATCTGCGTTTTTTTTCGTTTTCGTCATTAATGAACGTATAAGGACGCATAAACGTTCTGTAACTGTATATTCAAGAGTTTCTCTGTTTTCCATGCTGTCTTGGTATCTGGCGTTCCACCTTAGAGTAGATGGGATTTTTATTAGTAATCATATATAATCTAATTAGTAATCGTATAAAATCATTTAAAAGTTATTAAATTAAAAATGATTTAGATTACAATTATCAGATTACAATTACAAATACAAATACATTGAGTCTCAGTGATTACTTTATTTAAGTTGCCTGGTTGCAACATAGCTATATTCGCCTCGTTGCGAACACTAAAGGCGCTAGGAAAATACTTAACACAACTGTAGTAAACGGACGTAGTACAACACTGGTAGTAAACGTACGTTGTACAACACGGGACAAGAGAAGAGCAGCTGGCAGAAAAAGGCGGCAAGATAAGCGTTGGGTGTAAGATTAATAATTATTGTGTTGTATTGTAATTAGAGAAATAAAGTGAATCGAAATAATATAGAACTGTATTATCTACTAATTCCTTTACAATACAATCGTATATATAAACTCTTGAAATTGGATATATTTTATCCTGTTTTAGTAAGTTGACACATCTGTCCACTGTAATTAAAAGTGTGGTGGTGTGCGGAGTAATTGTCCTTTAGATATATTGACATGCTATTTTAATTGTTTTTTAAATATTCATTTGTCTCGCTTTAAGGAATTTTTTGTTATTTTAAGTAGATTTAAGCCTTATTAATCTAAACACATCACATCATTCAATAAGTCGTGTGACTGATACACAGATGGCGCTGACAATGGCATATGACGTTTATGAAGTACCAACCTTCAAAAGGCTATGTGTAAACATTCATGACATTTCGATTAGTCAGAAAAAAGTGACAACCATTTAAGTGAAGCTACTTTTGTTATTTTCAAAACAATGAATTCAAAACAAATTCATTGCTTCTTGATGAAAAAAAAATATTGTACAAGCTCAGCAATTGCTTCAAAAGTGTTATTCATCGAAATAAACCATTTCTTATTGGTTTGTTGAATTTAAACGTGATCGTACAGACACCGATGATGGTCAACGTTCACCATAATTGGACGATCAGAAATTGGTTATATCTGATCGTAAATTGAAATTGCTCGGAATAGCTGAGACCGTGAAGATATCAGAAAGCAATGTGTTTACAATTATGCAAGAACATTTGACCATGAGAAAGCTCTTTTCAAAGCGGGTGCCGCGTTTACTCACAGTCGATCAAAAACAATAAAGTGTTGATAATTCATAGCAGTGTTTGGTCATGTTAACACGTAATAAATAAGATTTTTTGAGTCCATATGTGAAAATGGATGAAATATGTACCCACACTTCACTTCAGAATCAAAATGGTCGTCATCTGAGTGGACTGTAGCCATCAATAGTAACTACTACACGGCATTACTGGATTGTTTGAAAGCAGAAATTGTGAAAAAATGATCGCATATGGCGAAGAAAAAAATTTTGTTTTACCAACACAATGCACCATGTCACAAGTCAATAAAAACGATGGCAAAATTGCACGAATTACACTTCGAAATTCTTTCTCATCCACCGTATATTCCAAATCTGGCCCCCAGCGACTACTGGCTATTCGCTGATCTCAAAAAATGCTCGCCGGTAAGAAATTTATCTCAAATGAAGAAGTAATTGCTGAAACTGAAGCCTATTTTAAGTTATCCTTTTACAAATCCTTTTACAAGCACAGCATCGAGAAGTTAGAGAAGCGTTGGAATGATTGTATTGCACTTGAAGGAGATTATATTGAAGAGTAAAATCGATTTTTGACGCAAAAAAATTTGTTTTTCTTAGTTAGTCACACGACTGAGTGACGTGTTATTTGATTTAATAACTTTGCATTAAAATATTCCATATACAGGCATAAAAACGAGTTCTTATGTACACAGATAGCGAAGTAGTTTTTTAGTAAAAGATTTCCTATTTTCACACTTAAATCAGTATAACTTTTATCTGGTCTACAAATAGTAGAAAACGATTTGAACTATATAACTTGAAAGCAAAGAATATCTTTATAAAAACGGCAGTCGACTTTTACTTGTATTCCGCATTAATCAAGTCGAAATCTTATTATAATAAATATAATAAGATTTCGCAAGTCGCTCTTAAGTATTTTAAGCCTTTTCCGAAATTTTTTCAATTTTACATTCATATCTGTGCTTTTAAAACCATTTTAACAAACTTGCAAGTGCTCCATATGAAATTTCCATGTTGCGTAAGTTTACCAATATAAAAATCTTGAGTCTGTCGATGCTTACCTTGTGTTCGAAGTTGATATATAAGCAAATAATCGATCGTCACTTCTATATGGATGTGTAGCTTTCAGCAAGGCCTCAAAGACTACTATTCGCCAGCTAGAAATTGCACAAAGCCAGGCTCTGAGAAGATTTTTCAAGGTGCCATGATACATTAGGACAAATGACATCTTCAGGGACCTTAAGATTGATCCGATCAAAAAATACATAAAGGATAGACCCCTTAAACTATTTACGACAACCGACAGGCTTACCAACATCGCATTATAGAATCTCAGAATGGTTACAGGCTCCTCGTGGAGGTATGCAGAGGTCAGTTATTGCTTACTCTGATAAAGTGATAAACAAAGTGAGAATTATGAAGAAACCTCGCAGTTAATAGAGAGTAAAAGTACTCAAGTGTACTGACTCAACTAGCCTCAACATAATAGAACAAAAGGAGATGAGAATGTAAAATAAAAAGTTATTGTGTGGCATTGTTGCCATTTTTGTCTGACAAATAGAGCAATCTAAGAAGAAAGTTCTAATGTGCATTACATACGCTCTGTGGCAAGTCTCATTGAAATTTGGATGTAGACACAGTTTCGATCATGATACAAAATGTAGCAAATGTTCATATGAAAAGCCTTAAAAGGTATTTTGATACAAAGTTCTCAAACTTACCATCATATTGCCTTTACTCAGCTTGATCACGAAATTTCGGATAGCAACATTAGGCTCTTGTTTCACATCTTGAAATCTAAACGTTTCTAGTACCTTAGACTTCTTCCTTTTTTTTAAATCCTTAGACTTCCTTAAATTTTTTAGATAAAAGATTGCTTCTGGTTCCTTAGACTTGCTGGTACTTTCAATCCTGTTGGCAGCTTAATACCGAGCGTATGTACGTTATGCTTGTGAAATTATGATTTGATTATAATTTAACATTATTACTTATTTTTAACATTAAATCAAACCTTTTAAAGTAATTACCAACACTTATCATTTCAATGCTTTCAAATTCATTGTCTATTTTAAAATTTGATATTCTTAAATTTTTACTGTTGCTTCCCATCAGACCTTGCTCTTTTCATTTCTGTTTGACACAATCAAGTAATTGAGTAATTCATTTGCTGCAAATGAATGAACAAAACGTTTAAATAAATGGTTTTAATAATATTATTATATGTTACATGTGCCAGTACTTGTTAAAATTTAAAAAGAAGTAAGAAAGACACCTTATATCCATATATTCTGCAATTTAATTCAATTTTGACGTTACATATTTGTCTTTTGTTTTCTTTAGTGAATATTAGTTAAATAATTTTAAGTGTTAAGATAACTTGAATTTTCTAACTTACATATCAACAATCACCTTACTTACATAATCTGAAAGCCACAGTTGTTCGAGCATTTACTCCGCAAATATCCAAACGCAATATCCAACTATATCGGGGCTAGAAAGCACAACTCAGCACACAAAAGTACGCATCAACGCGGGTTTTTCGTGTACAAATATTTATTATTCTTTAGCAAGACAATAAATTTTATTAAATTCTTGCAATGCCTCAACTCTGCTTGTTTCTTTACAATTAAAATTTATTTCTTCTATTAAAATTTAATGTAAAGATAATAATCTTTAAAACAAATAATGTGAAGGTGACAGTTTCTTAAAATTCACTTGTGTTCAAATACAAAAAACGCGACAGTTCATAACCGTAAGGTTGCTCTGGAAACCAATATTACAACATTTTTACCAATTTCCAGCCTACATATAACTAGTGTGCAGTTAATACCTGAAATAAAAATTGGTTAATTTTTATATAATATATTAAAAGTAAATAACTTACCATAAACCCACCCCCGCATGCATGTAACTGCACCACTTGAATAAAACCTTACCTTAATTATTTATTATTTAAACTAATACTTTTTAATATTTATTTTATTTTAATAAATAAATATAAATATTTAAAGCCGCCACTACCGACACTAAGCTAAACACGTTTCAAAACAAAACAAATGCACAACACAAGAAACGTCAAAAACAGCTTTTGTGCAAAGAGCTTTGTGTAAAAATTGATGCGCGCGCATATTAACTACGGCGAAAGCGCAAAACAGCAACGACGTCAAAAATCCAAGCCAGCTGTAAACTAAACTTTGCGCTACGTTAAAGTTTGGTCTGATGCGTATATAAGAAGACGCATTTACTTAGAAGAAGGCAGTTAGTGATCGACGCTTGAAGTCACCAGAGTTCGTGATAGACTCGCCAAGTGAAGCATTGGGAAACATTACCGGAGCTAAGTATAAACAAGCACCTTTATATTATTTTTTTTTTTTATATTGTTTTTTTTAGAGGAGTTTTTCGAATAGCAAAGAAAGAAATAAAGTACAAACACAAAAATTTATTTTTTTAATTTTATTGAAGTTCGGCTGACCATACAACGCTGTTTCGAGTATTGCCAAGTACTCTTCATCAGTGGTCTTTGGAATAATCGAATTTTTATTTAATTAGTTTATAGTCCGTATATAATTTTGTTTGGACTGCAAGTGCCAGGCTTAGAACTCGTCCCTGTCAAATTAGAAGCGATGACTAATCGTGTTTATCCACAAGAAGCCAAGGCTGCACAAACTTTCAATGCTCAAGTTCCAAGTTTTATTGTCACTTATTTTTATTTAATTAGTGACATCAACCAAAGCACTTGCCGTGCTTTAAATTAGAACGAGCTTATAAACTACAGCTTTAATTTGGAAACACAAGTTCAACGAATTGAAAGTTAACTTTTGGGTTCGCCTATTCTTTTTATTTTTTTCAAAGCTACTCTTTTTGTAGAGACATTTTGTAATGCATATTGTTTTACTTACTATATGTAAAGCGACCATTCTGGTGCTTTTTACAAAGAAGCTTAGCTATGTTATTCTACAAACCCGCTTTCGCGGTTTAGGAA